GTGCCTCGCACGCCGGCCCCGATGTTGCCGCCTCCGAGGCCCATGAGGTCGTCGTTGCCTCCGGCACCGCCTTCCTCGCCACGCTGGCTGAAGGCCCTGGCAGCTCCCATCAGGGCGGCCGCGAAGCGCTCCATCTCCGTGCCGCCCCCGACCGCGTCGTCCTCGCCCTCCCCGGCGAAGTCCTCCCCAGCCCCAGGGAAAGCCCCTGTCCGTAGACCACGCAGCTCGGGCCCAGGGGGGCCTCCGTGACGGCCCAGGACGGCCTGCCAGGCAGCTGGCGACTCGAAGCCCGCGGCTCCGCTGCGAGAGGGCGGCCCAGGCGGCGGCGCCGCGCGGCCGAAAGCCGACGGCGCCGGCGGCGCGGCGAGGCCAAAGGCCGTCGGCGGTGAGCGCCCCGCGAGGGCGCCTCCACTCCCCAGCAGCGGAGCGGCAGCCACCTTCCCCGCAGCGGCGCGGGCCAGTGGTCCTCCTGGCGGGGCTGCACGCGGGAGGGCGGGCTGCGGCGGGCGCTGCAGAGCGGGCGGCCTCCCAGGACGCCGCGGCGGCGGCGCGAGCGGCTCGTCCGACTCCGCGAAGCCGTCCCGCAGCACGCCAGCCACCTCCGCTGCCTCCTCCTCGGCAGGCTGCTCGGAGGCCCTCTCGACGACCACCACGGACTCGGCCTCCTCCTCCCCCGCTGTGAAGAACTCCGCGAAGGCCTCCTCGCCGAACTGCGAGCGGAAGGCGCGCGACGACTCCTCCAGCACCGTGCGCCCGTGCGGCCAGTGCCGCGCGCGCGGGGTGAAGTGCCGCAGGACCCGCTGGGCGTGCTGCTCGTCCTCGTAGTAGACGGCCTCTGGGACCAGCTCCGTCAGCACCCCTTCGTCGACGTCCACGAGGAGGATCTCGAACGACACGGTGGCCAGCGCACTGGCGGGGTTGGCCAGACCTGCGCCTCGGATTCTGGCCCTGACGAAGGGCCCTAGAGCATGATCCTCCTCCTGCTGACTCGCGGCGAGCTCGCTCTCCAGGATGCTGCCTCCTGGGACTGCGAGCATGAGACCACCTCGGCGCCGGCGTACCAGAGCAGCTGCAATCGCCACCCCGTCTGGAGCGCCCTCCTCCTCGTCCCGAAGCCATATGAGACGGGTGTAGGCGTCGGGCGCATCGCTGATAGCTACCACACCGTCGACGGTCCTGGCCTCCATCACAGTTGATATCCAGCGAGCCGCCGACGATTGACGAGACTGTTCGGCGCCTGAGCCTGATCCTCGAGCCTCCTGCGAGCGGCGGCGTGGTCGCGCCACCACCAGGCCAGGCCCGCGGCTGCCGTGGAACAGCCCGCGCAGCAGAGCACGCAGCTGCCCCCCAGCAGGAAGGCGAGCACGAGCCCCCACAGCGGCCAGCCCTCAGGGGGGCAGGCGCACGTGAAGGCGGGTTGTGCCCCCACAGGCGGAGCAGGACTGCTCCCAGGCCGTCCGAGCCCCGACAGCCAGTAGCCTCCAGCGGCGGCCAGGGGGACGAGGACGGCGGGGCCGAGCGCGCTGGCGCCCAGGGCGGTGGCCGCCAGGACCACGTCGACCATGCGCGGGCGCCCTGCGCGCGGCCCCCCCCTTACGAGAGAAAGGACTACGGAAAATACGGGAGATCGGCTTTGTGGACCAAGGATAAAGCCCCATTTGGAAGCTGTTACGCCGGAGTGGGCCCCGGACTAAGCAAGATTAGACCGGATTGAGCAGGATGAAGTGGGATTAAGCCGGATGAAGCGGGATCACGCCGGATTTAGCCGGACTTCGGCCCAGGGCAAAATCAGAATTTGACCTCCCAGGAGTTGCATCCGAACCATTCCCCGGGACAGGCGTTTCAGCCTGAGCCGTTTTTGACGGCCCCGAGGCCTGGCAGTGGCCACCGGAGGCCGAACTAGCGACAAACCTTCCGTCGTGATTTTCGGATTCGAGGGAGGAGGAGGAGGAGGAGGAGGAGGAGGAGGAGGAGGAGGAGGAGGAGGAGGAGGAGGAGGAGGGGGATGACAGAGGAGGAGGAGGACAAGTGTAAACCAAAGAGTCATCAACGATGTTGGAATAAACCCTCCCTCCAAGCTCCCAAGTCATAAACCCCTGCAACGGTTCATTTCCATTGAGGGAAGTGCCTCGTTGGAAGACACCCTTGAACATCCTGAAGCATGCCAAAACATTGTCCTCGGGGTTTCAACGCCACGGATCAACCTTACTGCTGCGTCTTGACGATCCGGAATCGTGACAGAACGTCATTTTTGGCACTTTAACACCGAGAGCCTACATAACTGTTGCACCCGCATAATCCTGAATCCTTCCTAAACACCGTTTCTGGTACGTTGATCATGGGAATCCGCGAAACTCTTCAAAATGTTATGAACGAATGTGCGCGGCGCTAAAACGATAACCACATGTTGAAAAGAAATCGCCCTTCAATCCCGACACTCTTGCCATGTTTTAAAAAGAATGCGCGCGGCGCTAAAGCGAGAACCACATTTTGAAAACCACCCACCCTCAACCCGTGCAACTCTTGCAAATGTATGACACGAATGTGCGCGGCGCAAAGGCGAGAACCACATAATGAAAAACAACTCGCCCTCAATCCGTGAAACGCCTGCAACGTTTGAAGCGAATGTGCGCGACGCGAAGGCGAGAGCCACATTTTGAAAACCACCCGCCCTCACTCCTTGAAGCCCCTGCAATTTTCTAAAACGAATGTGCGCGGCGCCAAGGCGAGAGCCACATGTTGAGAACCACCCGCCCTCCATCTGTGAAACTGCTGCTACTTTTTAAGCTTCAGTATCATGCGCGATGAGGAAGTCTCAGGCGAAACGCCCGGCCCGCCCTGAAAACTGGCCTCGGGGTGCGACAGGCAGAAATTGTTTATAAGGAAAAAAACTGGAGGAGGAGGAGAAGGAAGAGGCGGAGGGGAAGGAGGAGGAAGGGGAGGAGGAGGAGGAGGAGGAGGCGGATAGGAGGAGGAGGATAGGAGGCGGAGGATAGGAGAAGGAGGAGGAGGAGGAGGAGGAGGAGGAGGAGGAGGAGGAGGAGGAGGAGGAGGAGGAGGAGGAGGCCTCCTCGGAACCACTGCGCCCACAGGGCCCCGCAGGTGGGGCCTTGGCCTGTGCCCTCCCCCGACGCGGTGGCACTCCGGGGCAGCTGCCAGGGAAGTCCCAGGCGCCCGGGGTCCCACCCCTTCGGTGGCCCGCGCAGGCGGCTGCCCAGGAGGGACCTCCGCATTGCTCGTCGGCGGCGAGGCCAGAGGCAATCCGCACCAGCGCGGGGCCCATCGGGGCAACCGATAGGCAAATTGTGCAGCGTGCAAGAGAGAGAGAGAGAGAGAGAGAGAGAAAAAAAACCATACAGATACATAATACATATATATATATATATATATATATATAAAAACAAAAGTATGTGCGAAGACGAGGGCGGCCGCGAGAAAGGCGGAGAAGGAGGGCGCTCAGACGTGGAAGAGTTCCGCGATGAGCGGGCAAGCGAGGGCTCCGCACACGGGACCCCAGCCTCTGTTATGTCCCTCTCTTGTTCTCCTTGGGCGCGAGTTCATGGGAGTTCATGGGAAGGCACCCCTCTCGGGCCCTGGTCTGACCCCCTTTGGGGCCCTGGAGGGCCCCTTCCCTTCAGGGGCCCTAGAGGGTCCCCTGTCTGCAACCCTGCCCCCCCCCCCCATTGCTCGCCCCTCCATGGCGCGCCCCCAGTCTCCGTGCCGCTTGCCCGTCACGTGAACTCTGCCGTCGACGTGTGGTCCAGCATGGGCCTTGAGGTCGAGGGAGGAGGAGGATGAGGAGGAGGAGGAGGAGGAGGATGACGGAGGAGGAGGAGGAGGAGGAGGAGGAGGAGGAGGCGGGAGGAGGAGGCGGAAGGAGGAGGCGGGAGGAGGAGGGAGGAGGAGGAGGAGGAGGAAGGAGGAAGGAGGGAGGAGGAGGAGGAGGAGGAGGAGAGGAGGAGGAGGAGGAGGAGGAGGAGGAGGAACCCCCCCCGATCGCGGGAAAATCGTAGCGCCCGTGGATCTGAGGGTGAGGGTGGCGCTCGACGGTGGCCTTCCGGGGGAATCGCCCGCGCCCCGCCCGCAAGAGTCCCAGCCGACGCCGTCGCTCCCGCACGGTGGCCTTTCTTCTGTGGCCACGAGCGCCCTGGCAGGGCTCTGCGAGCACGTGCCGCAGAAGAAAGGCCACCATTGCAGGAGCGACGGCGTCGGCTGGGATTCCTGCGGGCGGGGCGCGGGCGATGCCCCCGGAAGGCCGCCGTCGAGCGCCAGGGCGCTCGTGGCCTCTGAGGTTGCCACCGGTTGCCGAGAGGCCCCTACACCAAAGCAGACCATCCAAAATGTGAAGCAGACCGCCCCCAAAAAAAGAGTAAAGCAGAACACCCCAAAAAGTAGACCAGACCACCCCAAAAAGTGAAGCAGACCCCCAAAAAGTAGAGCAGAACATCCAAAAAAGTAAAGCAGACCACCCAAAAAGTAAAGCAGACCACCCAAAAAGTAAAGCAGACCACCCCAGAAAGTAGAGCGGACCACCCAAGAAGTAAAGATCTCGGCCTCAGCTGCCCCTTTCCGCCCCCTTGTGGGGGACTTGGGGTCCACGCGCAGGCATCATCAGAGTCAGTGAGGTCGTCTTCCACCGCTGACCTGAGCAATCATCCCCCAACAACCCCAGAGCAGGAATGCAGTCAGCCATGAAGGCCGCAGGCCCCTGCATGGGCCACCTCCCAGGGCATCGATCGGGCGTTCGTTAACAGAGGGGCAGTAAAAGTGGGGTGAAGAAGCGTGCGCCTTTCGTACACCTTTTTCGGCCCGCGGTGGCATTTTCTCGGGGCCCTTTAGTAAGGCCACTTTCCTGCAATCCTCGACCCCTCCATGTCTATTGCCCCCTCCCCCCCGTTGCCGTCCGCCCGAATCGAGCCCGTGTGCCCTGGTGCCGGCACCCCCCGTGCAACACTCCGGAGAGGTCGGTGGCGACGCGTGCGTCTGCCGCGCGGCGGCTCCTTGTTGGGGCCTGGCATCACGACCCACAGCTCGTCGGCCACCTTCGGCCGCGGGGGCAGGAGCCAGAGAGGCGAGGGGAACGCAGCCAGGACCAGCGCACGAGCGGAGACCGGGAAGTCTCTGAGATCCCACCGTTCTAGAGGAAGCATCGCGCGCCGTGGCCATGCCTGAGCGCTCCCGACCGCTCTGAGAGAGTCCTCGAACCCTCGAGGAACGACATCCCGGTCCCGGCCTCGTCCGACAGCGCTACGCCCTGGACCTCTCCCGGGACGCGCTCTGGCCAGGACTTCGGGGCGAGTCCAGCCGTGGCGACGAGGGCCTCGCAGAAGGCCCGAGAACGAGAAAACGAGGCAGGAGTGATCAGCGGTGTCGACCTTCTCCAATGCTTTCAGAGTGTGGGCCCCTGGAGGACTGGCCCATTTCCCCAAGGCGGCTCTTCGCCCTATAAAACAAGGCTAGGATCGGGATAAATCGCTCCAGAGCGTTCCGGAGCGCTCTTGAGCGTTCCGGAACGCTCTGGAGCGGCCGCGGCGCCCAATACATCCTCCAAACCCGCCGATTATCAGAGATTCCGAGTTATCCCGATCCGATTTTGTCCCGATCTTCGCGTCGTTTTACCCTAGTCGTTGTTTGACGGTGCTGGGGCTCGGCGAAGGCCCGGGAGGCCGATGTTGTCGGAGCCTCGAATCTCTTGGCATTCCCTGGGTGCCGACGTCTCGAGCAAATCACGACTGGAGCCCTGGACACCCCATCTCTCTGCGCCGTTCCTTCTCGGGTCGGGCGAAAGGGGGGGATAGCAAATTTGCTATCCCCCCCTTTGCGCAAAGGGGGGGTTTGAGAATCAGCTCGCGTAGCTGATTCTCCCGGCGCCTCCCGGCGCCGGAGGCGGCTATGTATCGAGGAATGGGCCCCATCGGTGAAGCCGAAGCCAGCTGCATGCAGCAGACTTCGCACCCCCCCTTTCCCAATCCCCCCCTTTCGCCCGGCCCGGCCTTCGCTTCCCGGCGATCTGTGAGGGTCCCGCGGCCCGGATCGAAGGATTGCAAAAAAAACCTTTGGATTGCAAAAAAAGAAACCTTGGACGAAGGATTTTTTTGCAATCCTTAGGTTTTTTTTGCAATCCTTTGCAATCCTTCGTTTTTTTTGCAATCCGGCGAAAGCGCCCGGCTAGGAAAAATGGGACGCCCGGACCTCAGGGGCACCCTCCAAGGGATCGAGCTTCGAGGATCGAGGCTCGAACGCGCGAGGCCCTTTCTGGAAGGGCTCTGGCCTGCTCGGGGGGCCCGCCAACTCCTCGGGGAGGAGGTGCTTCTGGGAGGGAAGCATGAAGAGCCTGAAGGTCATAAAAAAACCGGAAGGTATAAGAACGCCGAGGGTATGACAAGAAACCCTCGGATCTGTTCACAGAGGGGCCCAGGGACACACCAATCAATGCACACAAATCGTAAGATTCCCCATGCTTTTTCATGTGTTCTGGATTTTCGTCTTCCCCCCCACTTCCCATATTTTCCCTTATCTTCTGGGGGATCGGCGATTCATTGTGTCTGCGTGTTTTTGTTCCCCTCTCGAGTTCAGTATGGGGTCCCTGGTCGTAGTCTGACGTCCCCGCGGCCCAGCGAGGGCCCCGAAAGATGTTAAAACCTTGGTGGTCGGCGGCGCCGGGGCACGCTGGTCTGGGCCTGGGCATACAAAACACCCCAAGGTGAATTCTTACAACAGAAACCAACCCTGGAGCGACGCATCCCGGCCCTGGCCTTGGGTCGGGCATGTCCTCCTGCAGGCGGGTTTTGGGCGACAAGTGGCAAAGAACCAAGAAATGCCCACAGCAGGTTCGTGTCGTGCCGACCCCAGCGTTGGTTTTTGACACCGCAGGGATCGTTCAACCTTGAACGATCGGCCATTTCCGCAACGTCCGATCGTTCAACATCGACCGATTCTGGGTCGCCGGCGGCGTTCAACCTTGAACGCCCGCGCTGGGGTCGCCGCTGGTCGACACGACGCAAACCTACCGCAAACACAGTGAAACTAGTCGAAACATCGTCCCCAGACTATTTTTGGACCATTCTTGAGTATTCCTCCTGTCGAGGGACACGCCCGACTGAACCAAACCACCCCAACCCAACCCGAAGACTCGAATTTCGGGTTGGGGGGGGTACGAGCTTCATGTGTGCTTTATCAACGTTCCCCGACCCCCCCCAACTGGAAATGGAGGGCACATTGGAGCCTTCGGGTTGGGTTGGGGTGGTTTGGTGGGCGGTGAAACCCTGGCCCCGCCCGACCGAGGGCTCCCGGCGCGTGCTGCCTGGGACCCCCCGCCGGGCGCCGCGGCGGTCCTGGGCCCAGAGGGGCCCCAGGCCGAGCGGCTGGAGCAGGTGCTGGGACACAACGGGGTAGGGAGGGAGGGAGGGAGGGAGGGAGGGAGGGAGGGAGGGAGGGAGGGAGGGAGAGAGAGAGAGAGAGAGAGAGAGACCAGACAGACAGACAGACAGACAGACAGACAGACAGACAGACAGACAGACAGACCCAGACCCCCTCGAGGAATGAATTCAAATCATGGCGGGAGGTTTTCCTCCATTTTCGGCCTCCGGGGGCCCTCACCGGGCCTCGGGAGCGTCAAAAAAGGACCCAGGATGCAAAGCCGGTCATGGGGAAAGGGTCGGGACCTCTGGGGGTCGACGTCATGAAAAAGTCATTACGTCGGGGGTCTGGAGAGAGAAAGAGAGAGAGAGAGAGAGACAGACGGGCAGAGGCACGCGCATGGGGAGGGGACCCACCTACGATCGCGTCGTGGAAACAAAAAAAAAACAGGGCGGAAGCCTTCCCTGATGTGCAGCCTCTGGGGGCCCTCGCAGGACCCCGGGGCCGTCAAAAAAGGACTCGCAGGACGAAAACAAAAACTAGTCCCGGGGAACGGGTCGGGACTCCCGGGGACCGCGTATGGAGAAACATCAGGACGTCGCATGTCTGGGCACGCAGGGGAGGGCATCCAGAGGACGCGTCAGAAGGTACCCTCTTCCGCCACGAAGTGTGCACAAACGCCTGCCGACGAGTGTCCCCTGTGGCTTCAAGGGAGGGAGGCGGTGTATGAGATCGCTGGCTGGTGGTGGTGATCTATACACCGCCACGCTTCATCCACCGACTGCGTACACACCGCCACCCTCCTCGCCACCCTCCCCTCCATGATGGAGGGCGGCGAACAATCCACTGACTGCGTAAACACTTATGTGGTAGACCTCTTGCCGCTCCGTGACCTTAGGATGCCGAGGATTGTCAGAGACCCTTTCAGCAAAGCGCCCTTCAGCGAAGACGGGGCACTTCCCAGGTGCGCGCGACACTGCAGTCCGAGTGCACCCAGGCGAAATCCCGAATCGGCGCCCAAGAGCGACCGAGTGCATAAACCGACTGGGAACTGCACCAGTGCACTCGTAGGCCAATGTCGAGTGAACCCATGTAGATTTCCGCACTCGACGTGTCTGGGTGGGCGTCCCCTCAGTGCCCGAAGATGCAGCTCCTGCAACTCCCAGGAGAATGAATCAACATCGGCGCTGGTATATCGGTAATCGAAAACCGGCCCGATCTGGCATAGTCCCTCTTAGTCCCTCCCGATCTCTTGTGACCCCGGCCTTTATCTGGGCAGCTCTGGTTCAGTGGCCCCTACATCGGGCTGAATAGCACCTAATCGTTCTTGCGGCGGCTGCACCAGGTGATGGGAAGCAACATGAGAGATAGGGAAGAGAGAGGCGCACGCAGGAGAGAGGCGCCCAGAGGAGGCGCCAAGTGGCATCCTCTTCCCAATCCATGACCTTAGGGTGCAACTCCTAAAAGTTAAATTACGTATCGGCGCTGGTGCAGCCGTAAGCGTAGTCGAACCTCGGCCTGCATCCGCAATAATCCCGCTTAATCTCCCTTACTCAATCTGGGCTGCTCCGGCTTGGCTTAGTGGTCCCGTGGTCGGGCTGGGTAGCCCTTAGCTGCTCTTGCGAGGACCTCCCAAGAATGGCCTCCTGGGTAACCGATCCTGAGCCCAGGATGGGCGTGGCCAGAATCGATGCACGTGCACAACTCTCCTCGACCGGCACGACCTGTTTCCACCAGAGCCCCGCTCCCTCATGCTTCCCCCCCCCCGCTCGGCGGCTCAAATCGCCCGCTCATCAGGGAGACGAGAAGAAGAAGAAGAAGAAGAAGAAGAAGAACGAGCAGGGGGAGGAGGAGCAGGGGGGGTTGAGGAGGAGCAGGAGAAAGGGCCAAATGCGGTCCAGATGCAGGACAAGCTGATTTCAATGCCGCCTCCCAAGGCTCCCATGAACAGACATCGAACCCCCCCTGCTCGGCGGCTCACCATGGACACCAGTCGGTCGTCGTGGCTCACCAGGACGACGCCGCCCTTGTGCCGCGCAGTGCGGAGGTGGCAAGAGATGGGCCACAGGAGGCACACATACTATACATACATATATATAATATGCATGCATACACATGCATTTATATGTGTAGATATGTAGTGTGATTATACATATGCGTACGCATATGTATATACTTGAATACACGCACATACGAAAACACATATATATACATAGATATACATGTGTATATATATAGAGAGAGATAATGATAATGAGAGGGACATAGGGAGAGAGAGAGAGAGAGAAAGAGATAGACAGTGAGAGAAAAACAAGAGCTCTATACATGTAGAAGCAGGGGTCGGAGGCAACTCCTGGGCGACCTTCGTCAGAACGGTGAACTGATCAAGCTCGCGAAAAAAACACTGGGCCGGATACGGCCGGATGAAGCCAGCGATCTTAAGCCGAACTGGACGGGATCTAGCTGGACTGAGCGGAATGCAACGGGATTCAACCAGACCGAAAAAGTTTCCGGCCAGAGATATACCAGCGCCGATTCGGAGCTTAACCTCCCAAGAGCTGCCTCCCGCAGGAGGAGAACGAGAGGGGCGGGAAGCCGCACGGGCCCGGCGGGCATCGAACCTCCAAGCACGCGCCCACGCCTCGGTGCAAGTGGGCCCCACGGTTGAGGCTTGGATGCCGCGCTGGGGGCGAACTCTCGATTCGCATCTCCTCGCAGGTCCGCCAACTCGTGGTCGCAAGTGAAACCCACATTTGCATGCGAGAGTCGCTCTGGGGAGCCAACTCTCGACTCGCATCTCCTCGCGAGCCGATCCGTTCCCGATCGCGAACCGCCCGAGTCTGCGTTTTGAGGCATCGCTCTGGGGAGCTGGCTCTCAACTCCTGTCTCCTCACGAACTAGCTGACTTATCTTCTGGTGTCTTGCCCAATCCAAACATTCGCCTTGCACAGACTGTAGAAACCGGTGCGTGCTACATGTACCCCACGCCCTCCGGCCGGCCGGAACTTGCCTGGGTCGTGTGCGCAGGCTCGCGATTGAACGGGTACTGATTGAGATTGCCCGAGGATTCTCCAGTACATGTTGAAGAGAATGTTGCCCGTATTCTGCATACGAGCCACGTGTCTGTTGAGATTTCGAATTTGCGCGCGCATGTGGCCCGAGGTGTACCATGCGCTGAGACTCTCAACGTAGAAACACGTTCCCGTCACGTGATGTCGGTTACCGAGGAGGATCAGTGATCACAAAAATGTGAAATCTCATAGCTGGGAAGGACGCGGGGTGCACAAGTCATATGAAAACGCATATGACAAGGCCCGGTGCCAGGCCTGGCTGGCAAAGCCCATCGCAGAGAGTAGTTCCCATGAGCAAAAGGGTCCGGGTAGAGCAAGGGGCTGGAGAATCCGCCGGCCCTCCGGCGTGTGAGGCGCTTTCCGCGGCGCCAGCAAAACAGAACTCACCCTCCCTGGGACTCCAGATGGCTCCCTGAGTCCTCCTCCTCCTCAAGCGCGCCAGCAAAACAGAAATCAAGCAACGCCACAATCGATTCGAGGGGAAGCCCCTTCCCTTCCATCTCAATCTCTCCCCCGCAGGAGAAGGCGGTTTGCACAATCGAAGGCGCAAAACTGTGCCGACGCTGCGCGGTCCTTGATTCTCCCAGCTCAGGTATTCCATCGGAGAATTCGTGAGCACAGAGACGGTCAGAGCGCCGTGAACCTGGCCAGAGCTGGCCCTCCTGGCTTACGCCAGTATGGTGTGCTCTTCCAGATTGATGTTTACAGAATTGGGGAAAATGTTGTTGCATGCGCCTTCTCCAGAGGCACGCGCATCTAATCCTTCAGACGTGCCGAATAACAGCTGCCAGTGTGGCCACGCCTAGCGCGTCCTGCAACCGATCATGCCGAATTTGAGAAAGGCATGGTCTGCACATGGCACGCCATGCAACGTAGTTCTGCGAATGCACATTGCCGTCTCATTTGGCGTGAGCGGGTGCGCATGCAGATGCAAGCACGCTCCTTCCCTACTAGCAAAAGGCGTCAATGTAGACGTCGTTGCGGCACGTGCCGGGCCCTCTTGTCGTGTTCTCCTGCCCACTCCCTCCTTCCTTCTCCTGGTATTCCTCCCCCCCGACCTTGTCCTACACCTTGTCCTCCTCTGCTTTCTCGCCCTCCTCCTCCCTAGCCTTCTGTCTCCCGCTCCCCCTCCTCCTCCCCCTCCTCGCCGAGAGCAGGCCCTGGGGGCCTCGAACTTGTTGAGAGCCATGGCCAGCCCCTCGATCGTCTCGAGGTCCAGGTGGTTTCTGGGGGGGGGCGGCGAGGGACCTCCTCCTCCGCCTCCTCCTCCTCCTCCTCCTCCTTCTCAAGCGGGCGTTTTTTGTCTCCGACTCGGTGCTCTCTCGGCCCCGCGGACAACCAGGGCTCCGACCAACAACCACGAGCAGAGCCCGACGAGGAGATCAAGAGGACCGATGTAACGATTGACCTTCCGTGTGCCAGTCTGTGGCGCAAGAGCCAATCTGGTCAAGTGAGGCAACCGCTGCCGACGATGGCAGACATCCGAGAGGAGGCAGTGGCCCCTACAACGGCACAGCGGCACGAGCGACACGCGGTACAACACACCACGTGCTGGGAGGACACGGGGGTGACGCACCATGGTTGCTTGCAGGGTCGAGCTGCCCATCGGTCGCGAGCGTGCTGGGCCAAGACGTCGCGGGCAGGGACAGAAGTGCCTCCGGAACCAAGAATCGGGCATAGACTAGGCATCCGTGGATCTGGCGCCTGGGCACCGTATCCACAGATCGGGGAGATAAACCTCGGGAATCATCCCCGCGACGGACGCAACCATATGCAAGCGTAATTGCCGCGAAACATGTGGGACGACAGTTGGGTTACGAAGCGCAGAAACGTGTGCTTCAGTGGAGCTCCCTTCGACTACACGCAGGAGTGACCCTGGATAAGAGTGACCTTTGGTGCGCGGCTTTTTGGGGGGCCGCGAGGGGACCGAACGCAAGCGCGCAAGACACTACTACCGCATCGCGTTCGGCGATCGGGGGACCCCAATGGGCTCACACCAAAGGTCACTCCGGCGAAGGGTCACTCTTACGTGTCGTCGATCCCTATGGGACCACGATACATGCCAGGGGTGTGCCGAATCGAATACGGGTGCGCCGCGCGGACCCTGCAGCCAGGACCTTCGGTGACGGTCCTTATGGGGCCACGAAGCGTGTGAGGGGTGAACCGAATCGAGTGCGGGCACGCCGCGCGGACCCTGTCGCCAGGGCCACGAAGCGCGTGGAGGGCAGAGGCAGCGATGGGAGGAGGGGGAGGAGGAAGGTGAGGTGGAGCGCGTCGCTGCGGACTCAAAACGAGGACCCCGCACCGCAGGATGGCTGGGACAACAAGAGTCCAATGCCGCCTGACTCGGCGACGGACCCAGACATCCGACGTCCTGAGCTCCTCAATGGGGGAACCCCCGAGGCCTGGACCCTTTCCCCAGGGTTGACTCTTCATCCCGAGTCCTGTTTTGACGGTCCCGGGGGCGGGAAAGACGCGCGCCCAGAACCTCGACCCGCGCCAGGAAGGAACCCCGACGCCGGCAGCGGCGGGGAGCGCCGAGACCAGGCAGAGCAAGGAAAGCGCGGAAGGAAGGACGGCCCGGCGGGGCGCGGGGCGGCGCCCAGGGCTGAGGAGGAAGAGGGCACCGCCAAGCGGGGGAGCGGCCCGGCGAGGGCCCCTCAAAGGCCGAAGCCGGCGCGAGCTCCCGAATCGGCGGCGGAGCGCGCCGCTGCTGCTGCGCGGATGCGGGGCCCCGCCGTTGAGCCACGCACCTCGGCTCACGTCTGCGTCTCCTCGAGGCAGGGGGCCCCCCGTGGGACCCAGGCGAGGGCCACCACGAGGCCCAGGGCCAGGGGCTGGCTGTGTGGAGATATGGGGTCCCTTCGGGAGTGCGATTCGAGTGCGCGGAGGGTTCTCCTGAAGGCATGCTATGCTAAGAGCCCCATGGGCTCCCAAGACAGCTTCAAGAAGGGCTCCAGAGCGTCAGCGTCGTCGTCGTCGTCGTCGTCGTCGTCGTCGTCGTCGTCGTCGTCGTCGTCGTCGTCGTCGTCCCCTTCAGGATCGGCGGAACCGGCCACAAGCCAGGGCCACCCCATGCCTCCCTCGACCCCCCCCCGTCGAGAGAGGAGCGAGGCTTCTGGATGTATCCCACCCACCAGGGACCCTGAACCGAAAGCACGCATCGGCGATAAGGCGGCGATGGTCAGCTGCGTCAGCGAAGATGGTGATGGCGACGCGCGTCGCCTTGACTGCTTCGGGATGTTTTGGGAAGCCTGGATTGCCTGCGAGCGCCTGCAACTGAATGTGAGCACTGCGAACGCCTGGAGCGCTTGGCGGTGCTTGGAAGCGCCCGGCAGCGCCTGGGAGCGCCTGGGGCGCTTCGGAGCGCTTGGGGGCGCTCGCGAGCGCTGTGGAGCGAGCGCTTGAAAGCGTTTGCGAGCACGGGAATTCTCGAGCGCGCCTGCAGCCGGAGGCGCCTGCAGCGCCATGGAGCGCCTGGGGTTGCATGGGAGCGTATTCGAGCGCCCGGGAGCGCCTGCGGGCGCGATGCTTGGTGGCGCCTTGGGAGCGCCTGGGAGTACTGCCGCGAGCTCCTTGGGAGCGCCTGGGGGCACGGATCGCATCAGGCTTCCGAAAAGTACATCGAAAGACGGGAGCGCCCTGTTGAGCGCCCTGGGAGCGCCCTGTTGAGCGCCCTGGGAGCGCCCCGAGAGCGCCCTGCGAGCGCCTCGGGAGCGCCCCGAGAGCGCCGCGGGTGCTCCCCGCGGGAACGTCCTGCTGAGCGCCCCTGGGGGGCGCTCTGCGGGTGCCCGAGGAGCGCCTCGGGGGCGCCCCGAGAGCGCCCTGGGAGCGCCCTGGGAGCGCCCCGGGGGGCGCCCCGGGGGCGCCCGGGGGGCGCCTCCTCCCCTCCTCCTTTTCCTCCTCCTCCTTTTCCTCCTCCTCCTTTTCCTCCTCCTCCTTTTCCTTTTTCCTCCTCCTCCTCCTCCTCCTCCTCCTCCTCCTCCTCCTCCTCGTCCTCCTGCTCGCGCTTGGGAGCGCCCAGGGGCTCGGGCCTTTCTTTCTTTCGCACTGCCGCTGGCCCTGCCGGGCGCGTGAAAGGAATTGTGCAGTTCCTGCCATGACACTGCGTCGAGCTCATAGCGACCCCAGGGGCTCGGGTCATGGGGTCGCAAGATGCAACGATGGAGCGAGAACGCCGTGCATGCCACGATGCGGCAATCTGAAGATCAGCCGACGTCTCCCGAAATGCTTGGTTTGCTGGCGATCGTGCGGCTTGGGGTCGTTGCATGCAGAAGCGTGGGGGCTCTGCATCGACTGGACGGGGCAGGCGCAGTCGACGCGCGCAGACGCATGTACTGGCGCACAAACTCGAGGCCAGCGGAAAGGGGGGCGCGGCGAAAGCTCGGCGAGGGCCGGTGAGCATGTTTGGCGTACAGCCATCGGTTCTGTGTGCTTACTTTGAAGGGCCCTGGGACACACAAATAAATACACACAAATAACAGGATTCCCCACATTTTGCCATATTTTCTGGGTTTTCGCCTTCCCCCACACTTCCCATATTTTCCCATATGTTCTGGGGAATCGAGGATGCATTGTGTCTGTGTGTTTTTTCCTCTCCTGATACTTCTCTTCTGGGGACCTGGGCCTGGTTTTCAACCCGCCTGGCTTGTGTGGGCCCCAATGGGCGAGCCGGCCCGCGGGTCGCCGTTCCTTGCCGCGCTGCTCCCCGTGGCATTGCACTGCAGGTCCATCGCGCAGGGGCAGGAGTTCGCCCTGCACTGCGTTGCGCTTGCCTTGCGGTCGCGTTGCTGTGCATGGGCTTCGGGCTGCTCTGTGTTGCGTTGCGTTGGTTCGCCCTGCTTGCATTGAGTGTTGCCTCAGATTGCATTGGTATGCGTTGGTTTGCATTGGTTTGCATTGCACTGCGCTGCCTTGCACCGCCTTGCATTGCGTTGCGTCGCGTTGCTTCGCATTGCGTTGCATTACTTTGTATTGTTTTGCGTTGTATTGCTTGGCGCCACATACTTTGCAGCACATGGATTGCACCACCTGTATTGCACCATAGGCGTTGTACCACCTAGACTGCACCGCACATATGGCAAGAGGTCACTGCTTGAGGTCCACGTTGGCTAACTTGATGTTGATAGTTCATTAACGTGTTGTTCATAGTGATGGTGCTGGCGACGATGGTGGCGATGATTAAGATCATGAGTAGGATGGTGATGGTGATGATGATGACGACGATGATGATGATGGTGATGCTGATGATGAAGAAGAAGAGGTGGAGGAGGAGCAGAAGGAGGAGGAGAAGGAGGAGCCTCTCTGTCTCCTGCCCCTCGTCCCTGTCCTTGTGCCTTTCCCCCCCCCCTGTGCACCAGGTGCAGAGGAGGAGGAGGAGGAGGAGGAGGAGGAGGAGGAGGAGGAGCGCCCGTGGCTCCACCTGCGTCAGGAGCTCTGGCGCCGCAGGTCGCCGCGGGCGCCGCCCGGATCTGCAGAGCTGGACATCGCGGCTCTTGCTGCTGTGGGCCGGGGCCCGCGTGGGACGGGCGGCTCGCGCTGGGCCTGCGCGGGGAGCGGGGGCACCCCGACGCGCTGGGCTCGCCATCGCTCGAACGTCCATTCCCTGTGTTTTTTTCGGTTTCGTGCGTGGTTTTTTCGCCAAATGATAGAGGATACTCCTCGATGGTCCTCGCCGAGGAAAAAACGCACACGTCCGAGCGATGCCAGGTGGGAAGCGGCGCGCGTGCCGGTGCCTCGGGCCACCGGCGGGGGAGGCTGCAGTGGGCCCGGGCAGGGGCGCGGGAGGAGGGTCTGTTCGTCATCGGCAGGACCGCAGCCCGACTTCTGCACAGGGAAGAATGAGCCAGGGAAAAGGAGGAGGAGTAGGAGGAGGAGGAGGAGGTCCCTCGCCGCCCCCCCCTCAGAAATCACCTGGACCTCGAGACGATCGAGGGGCTGGCCATGGCTCTCAACAAGTTCGAGGCCCCCAGGGCCGCATCAGCAGGACCGCAGCCCGACTTTTGCACAGGGGGGATTGACGGTGGTTGCAGCTCGCTCCCCACACGCAGTGTATTCTGGTCCGGCCTCACGCGTCAGGTCGCCAGTCTGTGCCGACCGCGACATGAGTCACACGAATGGGCTGCGACCTGAATGAAGCGCGTGACGACCGGATTCCTACAGCATTGCTGCGGTACCATGTGCCACTGTACCAACATAACCAGGTACAAACCTTTGGTATGGATGGATTCGATGCTCTCGAACAGGGGAGACATTGAGTGGATTAACGGGCACTGCCAAACCTGATGCTGCTGCTCCATGGTCTCTCTTCCTGATGCCTCGCCTGCTTGATGTTATTGTGTGCGCCGCGCTCTCCTGGCAGTACCCCAACCGTACGTTGTCTTACAATACATCTCTGACCTGGGTCTACAATCGATTGGTTTTCGGGAAGGTTTCACCGCGCCATAAAACGGTGGTGAAAATAATTCACGCTGGACTTTAAACGGCAACGCCTTGCCCACGAAGATTCCGGGTAGCTGGCTCCATTACTTGCCCTGAAGCCGCTTGCGAACGACGATTTCGGAGGAGGAGGAGGAGGAAGAGGAGGTGTGGGAGGAGGAGGAGGAGGAGGAGGAGGAGGAGGAGGAGGAGGAGGAGGACCAGTGTACATCCAAGACTCATCAACGATGTTGGAATACACCCTGCCTCCAAGCTCTCTCATAATACCTACAAGGGTTCAATTTCTACTGAGGGGATTGCCCCGCAGGGGGA